CTAATGGTGGAAATCTAGGAGAACTGTGCAATCGTAAGTACATTTGAGTCCTTTGCTTGTGTCAAGTATCCTATTGGTCAAAGCAGGTCACATGTCCCAACGCCATTGGGCTGAGAAATAGACTCCTTTCTTGGTGGGAGGAACAGGGGAGGCAGTGAAATTGTTTGTAACAACCTAGTTATTATAAAGGCTCTGGGTTGATTCCTTAGACATTGGGCCCTTGATCTTTGAGATCAATGATAAAGAGACTCTAATTCATGAATATATACACACACTCATGGGGTTATTCGGAGCATCATTTTAGAGCTTTGCCACTCAAACCCATCTCACACTCATGTGCCCCCACATTTCCTAAGCACAGATGCATCAAATGGGAGCAGAGACATTTTAGTAGATTTAAAATGTATAGGGGGGCATAGACATAGCCCCAGATGCTAAACAATGTGACTGGGAGAAAACCACCAATAATAGTCATCAAATTGGAGGCTTTGAAAGTCCCAGACATCTTAAACCGTTAGAATCCCCTTAAAATACCCAGACAGCTAAGCAGACACTTTCACAGAAGTGTATGCATGCATGTGTATATATGAATATGAGCATATGCACACTCACTTGCATATGTAGTTCCTTTCTTTAGTCTAAGTTTAATTAAACAACCTGGATTTCTCATATATGTGCATTTAAATATAGAACTGAATAATTAAAAGAGCTGCTGGTAGCATGAGCTTCCCAACTCCCCATTCCCCTCAAAATGGCCAGGTTTCCGGATTTCATAGAGGAAGGACCAGGCCTTCTGTTGGTTTTAGCTGAGCATCCAAAACAGGTGAAGCCAGAGCAGTGATTGTTAGAAAGTACCCACAGTTGTATGCCCCCTACTGTTTTGTACTATCTATTGTGGGTAAGGCCAGACCCTAATAAAATACAAAGGTTTAAGAAGTGGGTCATTTTTTTTATCTATCTATAAAGATATATGTAAAACCTGAGCAGATACTTTAAAATTGGCCTTTAATCTGAAAACTAGAGGCCTGGTGCACAAAATTTGTGCATGGGTAGGGTGCCTAGGCTGATTGGGGCCTTCTGGCTACTGGCCAGGGCCTTCCTTCCCTGGCTGCCAGCTGCTGGCCAGGGCCTTCTTTTGTTCTGTGCCACCCCCTGGTGGTCATACATGTCATAGCGAGGGACAGAACTCCCAGTCTCCTGGTCTAACGCCCGTGGGGACACTTTGCATTATATATATATATATATATATATATATATATATATATATATATATATATATATAGAGAGAGAGAGAGAGAGAGAGAGAGAGAGAGATCAATGGTCAATGCAGGTCACATGTCCCATGAAATTTTTTTTTAAGGAAAAGGAAAAGTGTGCCCTTAATTTACCCTGGAAAAGTTTTCCTTTTTTACATTTTTATTTACTCTAATTGGAGTTGCCCCATCTTGCTCTTTTCAAACCCATCTTTCTGGTTACTAAGGGAAATCAAGGGCCACCAAACAGACCCATAAACCCCAGCAAACTATCATATACCCTGCTCCTGAGGAAGGAAATGAACTTCATTGAGTGCCTACTCTATACCTGATCATTCTCACATATGACCTAGTATGATCTCCACATCAGTTCTATGAAGCATTGTCAACATTACCATCTCTAAATGGGGAAACCAAGGGTTAGGGGAGTTTAAAAATTGACCCTCAGTCAAACAGCTAAAAAGGAGTAGTGCCTGAATTCAAAGCCAGCTTAGTTTGTTTTTTTAAATGACTATATAGTAAAATCAACATTGTTGCATTTTGATGAGCAGTTTTATGAAATTTAACACATGTATAGACTTGTGTTCTCACCACAACAATCAAGATACAGGAAAAAATTCATTTATGCTACCCTTTTGTATTCACACCCTCCCCCAACCTCTGGCAACCTCTGATCTTTTCTTCATCATGATCATTTTGGTGTCGTTGTGTTTGTTTTTTTTTTTGAGATTGTCATAAATGGAATCGTACAGTATGTAACCTTTTGAGATCGGCTTCTTTCACTCCCAATGCCTTTGAGAGCCATCCAAGCTGCTATGTGTACCACAGTCCATGTTTTTTTATTGCTGAGGGGTATTATGTGGGATGGATGTAGCACAGTTTGCTTAAACATATGGGTTGCTAAATGACATATGGGTTGTTTCCAGTTTTATTTTGGTTATTGCGAAGAAAGCCAAACTATAAACATTCATATAGAGGTTTTGCTATGAACATAAACCCTCATTTATCAAGAGTAAATTCCTAGGATTGGGACTTACGGTTCATACGGTGAGTGTATGTTGAACTTTACAAGAAATTGCCAACACGTTTTCCAGAGCGCTGTAACATTCAAAGCCAGTTTTGAACACTTTGGATCCATGTTCTCACCTCTTCAATCAACAGAGGGCTTTATTGTATCGGGCAAAACTTCTTTTTGGGAGATGTTATTTCCACTTGGGACTTGAAGGAGGTAAAGTCACAAAACTTCAACGTGAAATCAAAAGTTTAACACGGCCTAGACAGATTTTTTGACAGGTAGAAGAGTGAGGAATGGGAACAGAGGGGCAGTGGCGGGGATATCTCTGGAGAACAGCTGGGAACCTGGTGGTGCAACTTGGACCCCAAACCAGGGGACCTTTTGCAGTTTTGGCTAAGCCTTTAACACCAAGTTAAAGGTGTAACGCAAAATGCTCTTCCAGTGAAACTGAAGTTGCTAAGAATTGGGGGAACAGGAACTATTTGTACTGCAACCTGATCTGCCTCCCTAACCCATTACTGTGGCCCCAGGCCACACTTGTAAATCCCTAAGCAAATCTTGGGAAAGTTGTGTGAAATGTGTTCCCTCCATTGCTCACTCGGGTTTTCCAAACATACAAATTCTATTCACCTCACCCCCTTATGAGCAAACTTCCTGAAGGAAATATTGCCAACACAGACAAAATCACATCAACAGTTTGTAAAGGCTTAAGAGCATATACTTCTCAGAGTCATACTTCTCAAGAGGTCCAGTGAGGAACTTTGCTTAGCTGGCCACCTTTTTTTCAATCTAGAATAGGAGGTTTCTTCATATGTGAAGTAAAAATATAAAACAATTTTTATACATCATCATATCTAAAAAGTATATACTCCCAAAACACTGTTGAATGCAGATTCATTCTTCCCAATATACACCTATATCACTGGTTTTGATGCTCACATAGTATTTCATTGTACATGTGTATATTTATTTATATAACCATGCCCCTAATTTAGAACAAATAGGCTGCATACTGAAAATAGTTTGTTGGCCAATTTTTTTTAATTAAAAAAAATATTTTATTGATTTTAGAGAAAGGAAGGGAGAGTGATAGAAACATAGAAACATCAATGAAAGAGAACATCATTGATCAGCTGCCTCTTGCATGGCCCCTACTGAGGATCAAGCCCACAACCCAGGCATGTGCCCTGACCCGGAATTGAATTGTGACATCCTGGTTCATGAGACAACGCTCAACCACTGAGCCACACTTGCCAGGCTGGTCAAATAATTTTTGCTTACAAATCTGGGCATCATATCAGTCAATACAGTTCGTGCAACTGTGTGGAAAGGCTATTTTCAGCATAAACCAAATAAGTGTATTTTATGAGAAAAACAACACATCCATGTCTTTGAAATAACAAATAGATTTAGAAAGATAAAAGGCTCAGAGGAATAGAAGTCAGAAATTTCAGGTTATTAGAATCAACAATGTTTTTTTCCTTGTGTGACTTTAGGCAGGTTCCTCATGACTTTATGGGTCAGTTTTTCAAACAAATAATAGAATGAAAACAATTGTCATTGGCTCCTGTCACAAAAATAGTGCAATTTAAAACTATATATTAACTAGAGGCCTGGTGCATGAAAATTCATGCACTGGAGAGGATGTCCCTCAGCCTTGCCTGCCCCCTCTCACAGTCCAGGAGCCCTCAGGGGTGGGAGGCGACCTGGTGATCAGGGGAAGACAATGCCCCCATCACACATCTGCTGCTGCCACTGCCGGCAGTGCAAGCCTGGCCCAGCCCTGGTTACCTGAGCTTCAGGTGGCCCTGGGAGGCTGGGCAGTTGCAATCTGAGGCTTGCCTGAGCCTTGGGCCAGCTCTGGTCATCTTGGAGGCTGAGGGCACCTGCCACAACTCCCTCTCCTCCTCCCCCCACCCTCCACAGGGCTGAAAGGACTGGGGGACTCCAGCGGGGCTAAGGGGACTGGGTGCTGCCATCTTGTGGCTATGGGCAAGACCATCTTTGTGACAATGTAACAATCAATTTGCATATTCCCTCTTTATTAGATAGGATTACCTGTGGCTCCTGTACCAAATGACCACAAAATTGGTGGTTTAAAATAACAGAAATGTATTCTCTCTCAGTTCTGGAATTCAGAATTCTGAAACCAAGGTGTAGGCAGGAGCTCTGCTCCCTCTAAAGGCTCTTATAATCTTTCTTTGCCTCTTCCAGCTACTGCTGGCTATAGGCCAACCCTAGCTTGTGACTGCATTATTTTAATATTTACCTCTGTCTCCAAAAGTCTTCTCCTTTGTGTTTATGGCTTCCCCTCTTCTGTTTCTTATTAGAATACTTGTCTTTGCATTTAGGGTCCATGTGGATAACCCAGAAGGATCTCATCTCAAGATCTTTAACTTCATGACATCTGCAAAATTCCTTTTCCCAAATAAAATCACATTTACAGGTTCTGGGGGTTAAGATGTAAACATATTTTGAAGCCCACCATTGTCTTTAAATGTTCTGAGTACCCAGGGGGAAATAAGTAATCCCTTTGATTCAATCTTAAGTGAGCAGAATGTGAATTAAAAAATACTAGTTTGTTTTCCCTAGGTACTGTTATACATTTGAATCATCTCTCTAATTTCTCTTCAGCTCTATTTACATTTTTAAGTGTTAGCATTGAAGGCTATCAGACAAATTAAAACTTTAGTAACTTGGTTTCATACCACTATTTTGTTTGTTTTTCCAAGCGTTCAATGTTAGAACAATCTGAACAGCAGATTAGGGCAGCTTCTGGCTTGGAGGAACTCCTGCAAGTCACACACTTTGAGGACTGGAAGCTGTGGAGATGCCGACTGAAACTGAAAAGTTTTGCCACCCCAGACTCCCGCTCAGCATCCCATCGGTCCACCAGGTTTGCGGCAACTTACTATGACATTGAAACATTAAAAGGTAGGTGTGTGTGTGTGTGTGTGTGTGTGTGTGTGTATACACCAATTCTTGCTCTTTCTCAGATACACCTCTGCCAAATGCACCAACCTCTGCCAAAAGTTTGAGCAGGGCAGCATGTGTTAGGGAGAGGAACGGGGGTCTGATTTCATACCTTTGATGTTAATGGAGAATCCTACTTTCCTATATCTACTCTTGTTTTCCTATATTGACTCTGCAGAGAAATAAGTCAGTATGATTTTGAGGTTAAAAAAATCAACACAAAAGAACACTTCAAAATGCAGGAGTATATTTATCTCAAAGATGAGAGGGCAAAACACCCCAGAAAGATGATTTTTAATTTTTAAAAAATCATTATGTTTACTTAAAAAAATTAAACAATCTTGGCATTCATTAATTAAAAAAAACATTCTACTGCCATACAGATAGGGATAAAAAACTAATAAGTTTAGATATAACCTTTTTATTTCTTTGCTATTCTATGATTTTTTAAAGTAAAAACATGAAAAGTAAAAGTTGGAAGCTAAGTTGTAATAACGTATGCTGGTATTACTGGCAGAATAATTGATTCTCTCTAGACGAAATAATCTAAACTCCAGACAATAAAATAATGTAATTGGAAATAAAGGGAATGATTCTTTCATAGTAAGAATGGTGGTCCTTTATAAGAAAACCATTGTCTATATGTACTGTGTCATAATGAATAAAATGCATGCCAAATAAAATTGCGTGGCTTCCAATGAGGCATTTAACTTTTTTTTATGACATGTCAACATAATGCAAGAAGCCACTGTGGCAGTGTTGACCTAGCGTTTATTTTATTTATTTTTATTTTTATCTTTATTGTTGATAATATTACGGATTTCTATCTCTTTTCCAACCATTATCCACCTCTACTCGGTTCCTGCCCCACCCCAGGATCTAGCATTTTAAAATTGATTAAAATATGATTGCCTGCTAATGGATTATATTTATCAAATAATTCAATTTGACGACTAAGCCAAAATCATTCTTTTCTTTCTTTCTATAGTTATCTTTACTTTTCCCCACTTGTAAAATGATGATGAGCTTGTACAGGCCACTGTTGTTTTCTGTGGGGAGGCTTTGTGTAGGCAGGGATACATCCCTGGGCTGCGTAGTGGGCCTGTGTGTGAAGAGGATTCCTTGTGTTTTTGTATGACTGTGTGTCTAAATGAGTTGAGGTCATTGGAACCATGGCCTATAACCCACTTTGGCCAGAGGTTTGAAGCTATAGTCACTTCTTAGTGGTAAATTAGCCTAGACTTTATGAAACCAAAGAGGTCAGACCTCACCTGAGATCCAAGGCCTTAACCAGATTACCTGTGTAAAGACCTAAGCGGGGCTGGAGATACTCTGTGAAGACAGTTAGCCAAGCATTACCATAAAACCAAAATTGGTTGATTTTAAAAAGTCAGTGACATTGACATTTCCTAAGGAGGAAACCATAAAAAGTACAAAAATATTTTGAAAAGCTATAAAATATCTCATTATGTGGGGGATCATCTGAAACTTTGACTAGGTTAGAAACAGTAAATAATAAAATGGGAATAGTACATCACTTATAATTTGTTATCAACTCTCCCTCATGGATTTCAGGGTAATTTTGGAGACAGAACAGACATGCTGGTGGTAAGAAGACTAGTAGAGTTATGCAGGCTTTACCCGGTGACATTGGTCATAGTTCCACACAATTTTCACAATTTTGATTAAAATTGTATTGCTCCAACTCTCAAAAGTTAGTTTTATAAAAAAGCAAATGGAAAACAATATTTAAGTAGAATTTTAAACAGCAATATCTTCATAATTTAATCACTAGTTTTTTTCTAGGATTCATGATTAATGGTAGTGAGATATCTATGTTAACAACTAATTAAATAATTTATCTCTCATATTTATAGACTTTAGGCTCTTTATATAAATATTCAAAGTCAGAAATTTAAAAAGGTTTCTTAGGATAAAAGATTTTATTATTAAACAGAGTTTAGGCAAATTGTCTAGTGTATGTAATGTTTCTCAGCAGGCCAAACATCTTATATTTTGTGACTTTCAGTGATTGAAGAAGCAACATATGAGCAACATTGAGATTAAGAGGGGAAAAATATGGAAACATGTTTTAAGGGAATAATTTATAGGCTATAGTCAGATCTCCAACAATATTATGTTTGTGTTCTTTAAGCAGATGTTCCTCTGTCTCTTCTAGTGGAAACATGCTCACATATATGGGAATTTAGAATATTCTGGGGAGAGACCAATACAAATTTCTGAAGATGGGGTATAAGTGGAGAATTTATCTATTGATGCATAACACTTAACCTAAAACTTAGCTGCTTAAAACAACATTTTTTAGCCTCACAGTTTAGGTGAGTCATAAATACCGACACGGCCTAGATGCGTGTCCCTCCTGGGCCTGTCCAAAGGATGCAGTCAAGGTGTCAGCACGGGCCACAGGTAGCATCTCAAGTTCAACTGGGGCAGGATGTGTTTTCAAGTTCACTTAGTGGTTGTCGGCAGGACTTAGCTAGGCAACCAACAACAACAAAAATGTATGTCTTTAAGGTGCTAAAACTTGTGCATTCTTGGCTTTAGTAGAAGCAATGCTATTCAGCTGCATCATATAAATTGCTTAATAAATTGAAAATGTTAATTCTTTATACTCTTCCATTTACTTCTTTATTGACCAGCTTCTCCAGATGTACCAATGTGGTTATATACAGGATATGGTGTTCTTCACCAAAGAAAAATAAAATTGTATTCTAGAAAGGTATTGTATATGTGTGAAGGAACAGATTTTGCCTCTAATTTTTCTGTAAACAATCTTTGGTTAAAGGGACGACAAAAAAATAACTAGTAAAATAAGCGCTACAGCTGGCTCACATGGGCATGTCAGGACCATCTCTCCCGCTGGCACCAATGAGCTTCCTCTCTGCAGTTATAGATGAGGAATGGCAGAGAACCCAGTGCAGTCCCAGAGAGACGTGTGTGGAGGTCGCCAGTGAGCTGGGGAGGAGCACCAACAGGTTCTTCAAACCACCCTGTGTGAACGTTTTCCGGTGTGGCGGCTGCTGCAATGAAGAGAGCGGCATCTGCATGAATACCAGCACCTCGTATGTTTCCAAACAGGTATGAGGACACCGGTTAGCATGCCCTCTGCCAAGTCCCAATGACGACAGTGTTGACAGCTGCGACTAAGCTTTTTGCCAAACACTGTGCTACATGCAGTGTGTGTGTTGTCTCATTTATCTGTGAGACAAACTAAAAGGGTATCTTTTTATCCTTCTTTATAGATGAGAAAATTTAGGCTCAGAGAAGTTAATTTATGGCAGAGCTGGACTTCAAATCTAGGTCTGTGAGACTCCAGAGCCTGAATTTTTATCAGTCATTGCCTCTCGGATGCTATAATCATGTGGAAGTTACTAGAATAGACATTAAAAGGAATGAAGGCAGTGCACTGCCTTGTTGATTAGTTAGGTTCTATGTTGTTCAAATGGAGTGACTGAGAAGAGTTTAATGGGATAGGGCAGTGGTCGACAAACTCATTAGTCAACAGAGTCAAATATCCACAGTACAACGATTGAAATTTCTTTGGAGAGCCAACTTTTTTTTTTTAACTTAAACTTCTTCTAAAGCCACTTCTTCAAAATAGACTCACCCAGGCCGTGGTATTTTGTGGAAGAGCCACACTCAGGGGGCCAAAGAGCTGCATGTGGCTTGTGAGCCACAGTTTGCTGACCACTGGGATAGGGGAAAAGAGGAAGGGCTGGTGCAGTACCCAGAGCTAGCAAAAGGGGGACCTGCTCCCACCCATGGACTGAAGAGTAATTATGGGACCCAGAGAGAAACTGAGGAAGAGTGCTGCAGGACTGGCTGGAGGAATGGCGGCCATGGTCAACCCTTAGCCTGGCAAAGAGTAGGGGATAGGGATATGGGAGGCAAGAAGACCTATGGATGTCATTCATAGATGTCAGCCCTGGGACACAGAGCCCAGTGGGGAAGGAAAGAGAAAGGATGCCATCTCTGGAGAAGCAAATGGAAAATATCCAGCACAAAAGACATTTGAAAACAATTCTGCAGTCTCCATGAAAGAAATAATCCTTCCCTTTCTATCTCATAAAATCCTTTTTGCTCAGTAGATAAGTTTTTCTTTTTATTGCCACCATATTGTTGCAAACTATAATTGTTGCATAGGAGAGAAGTAATAACAAACTTAGGAAAACATATTAAAAAGCGGTAAGTCAAACTACATTCCTTTTGGCGCTATTTTGCAAATTCCTTGTGCATGTTCATATATTCATTTACCACATTTGCCTATAGTCTTTATTCTGTATGTATATTTACTACGTATAAGTATATACACATATACACACATATATACATACATATACTTATATATACATACATATACACATATATACATACACACACACATATATAGTAGTACAATAAATTTAAATATGCACCAAATATATCCATGTTAGGTGATGATCTTAATTAGATATAAAAAAAACGGATTGCTGATTTGTTTGGCAATAGGTTCTTATCCCTTAATTTTGTTCCTCCTACTCCTTAAAATGCCCCTTAAACTGTAGAGTTTCATTTTCGAATTCCTTTTTGAGAATCTCGCAACTTGTAAATTCTGACCTCTACTATTTGACAGTCAGGTCAAAAAATAACAACCATAGCTAAGCACCAACTGTCAGAAAAAAAAAGCTTGCATTAACGCAAAAGGCTTCAGCTCATGACCACGTTATTCCCTAGAACATAGCTGGAAAATTTCACAAGAAGATGAAGTTTACGCAAAGTAAACACTCTAAAAACACTCTCTTACTTAGACTCATGGAATTCCATTACATATTGAAAGGTCAGAATAAACACAACGTTAATGGATTGTTCTCACTTAATAGATAGTTGAGTACTTTATTTTGACTGCTGTACTCAACAAATGATTAGTTTTACAGAATGTACTTAACTGTAAGTGTACAGCAGTTTTTATTTCCAAATATGCATATTTGAACATTTTGTGTGTTTTTTTAACTACCTCTAATCCCAAAGTTATGAGCTATTTTATGAAATACCTCTTAGAAACAAAGTGAATAAATGAATTCTCTATGTAGCAAAGACTACATCGAATGATGATTGAATGGACAGAGCATTAAAGACAAGTTAAAATTAATCCGTGTATCATAGAACCACTCTAGAAACAAAGTATCGATAATTGACATTTTTCTAAATTCTACTTCTCAAGATCCCACCTTGATCCTTCTGGTCACAGCAATTTCATTCAAAAAAGTAATAAAGTATATTTTTTAACAGTATCACCTCTGCCTCTAGAATAGACTGTCTGGGTTCAAATGTCCACTCTTATCATCAATAATTATGTGGCCTTAGGCAAGTTGTATAACTTCTCTGTCCATTTTTTTATTCACATGTAGTGGTTGGGGAAGGTAATAAAAATCCACCCTATGTCATTGTAATAAGGAATAAATGAATTAATATATAACTGCTTACAATAGGGCTGACATATAGAAACATAGAACGAATGACATTCACGTTACATATAATTCAGTGGTTGGGCATGATGATTGTGTATCAGTCCGTTATTATTGTGGGATGCTGCATAATAAACATCCTAAAACTCAGGGGCTATAAACAACAGACTTTTTCTCACCCATGTATCTGAGATCTAGTTAGTTTAGAGTAGGCCCATAGGCCTTAACTCTAAGCTACAGGTTGAGTTCAGGTCTGTTCCCTGTGTCTTTCATCTCTTGGACCAGCAAGCCTGTCAGATCATGCTCTTCTCATAGCTACAAGCCCTACAAACTATGCACAGTTAAAGTTTGTAGTTGTGTCATATCTGCTACCATCCTGTTGACTAAAACAAGTCACATGGCCAAGTCCAAAGTCAAAGAACAGGGAACTATATTCCTTCAATGGAGACAGTTTGAGAAGTGATAAGAAAATTGTTTTTGAACAATAATCTCTTCACCATGGTCTCAAAAGAAATTTCATAGGAAAAGAAAAGAAAAGAAAAAAAAACCTTTATAGGTATGATTTCATTTATTCTTTACTATTTGCACTCAAATTTAAAGCAGGAGCATGGAGTAACAATACCATTTTATAAGGGCACCAGTGGCACAGAAAAATAAGGAGATTTAATTAAGCTTAAATCCATGGTAAAATTGGGTTAGTCCCCAGTCAGCTGACGCCCAGCCCAGCCCAGGAGTCTTTCCATGTTAGTCTTTATCCTTACTACCGTGTTTCCCCGAAAATAAGACATCCTCCGAAAATAAAGACCTGGCACATGGAAAGATAAGACATCCCCTGAAAATAAGACCTAATACAACTTTGGGAGAAAAATTAACATAAGACACTGTCTTATTTTCGGGGAAACAGGGTAGTTCTGTCCTTGATGAAAAAACTTTGCTAAAGTCACTGCAATAACAGACAAAAGCAAAAATGCAAACTGTAGAAATTATTCTTTTAAATATATGAGTATTATGGTTATTTTCTCTACTCTAGCTCTTTGAAATATCAGTGCCTTTGACATCAGTACCTGAATTAGTGCCTGTTAAAGTTGCCAACCACACAGGTTGTAAGTGCTTGTCAACAGCTCCCAGCCATCCATACCCCATTATCAGAAGATCTGTTGAGGTCACAGAAGAAGATGGGTAAGCATTTCTTGTATTTGATTAGTACTTGTTCGTGCCTTTGCCTAAGCTGTGTGTGTAGAATACTTCGTTAATTATAGAGTCATCACTTTCTCTTCAAGTTCTTCATTTTTCAGCCTTTAACTCAGATCTACTGTTAATAACTTTGGAAAATACGTTTGTGTGTGTGTGTTTTTTAATCAGGTATTAGATGTATATTGCACAAACAACTTAGTGCTTGTGAACTTAGCATGCTTGTGTATGGACACCTTTGTTCTTAATATGCATAGCCTAATGTGTTGTGAACTTTCTTCCAGTCTCAGCTTGGGCACATGTTCCCTCATTCCAAAACAAGCATTAAATAAAATTCATTCTAGGCTGTTTATACATCTCAGCCCCAAAATTGGGGGTGGGAAAGAGGTTCCTGAAGTCATTGACGAGTGCCAAAATTATCTGCATCTGAGTTTGAAGATTTTCTAACCCTTCCTCTTGAGATTACCATATGAAAAATTCTTATTTTAAATGAAAATTACTTAAAATTCAATTGACTTTGAAATTTTTCTAAGGGTATTTTGTGATTCTTTATGACACAAATTATAACACCCTGAACAGTTCTGGAATTAAAGAGAAGAATCATTGATTTGGGAAAAAATTGAGAAACAAATGAAGGTCAAATTACAAACACTGAATTAAAATATAAACTACATTGAATACTTAGATCTTGCAAAGGTAAATCAATAAACACATGTGTGAGTGGCAAGTGAAGGAGTGAACTGGTGGTTATATGTTACTTAACAGTGATCTAAGAAGACATCACCCCCTCCCTTAAGCAGAAAAGAAAGCTCATCTATAAGGCACATTTATCCTCAAGATGTTCCTGCTGTTCTAACCAATGTTCTTTATTTTAAAGAAGATAATGCTATGTTAGAACAATATTTACTTTTGGTAAATAGGCTCTGTTGACAGCTAATTTGCATCATTTTAACACCAATCTTCTTAAAGATCATAACTTCCCAAAATTACAGTTTCATTTCCAAAGGTTTCTAAGTAGACTATTTGTAATTACAGAATTACTAATAATATGAAGTTCATACATATGAATTAAGCTATTTGAAATCTTAACTATTCTCACTCAGAAATGTATGCAATGTTTTTTAAAAATGTCTCAAAGGTATGATTGCCCTTGAAAGCTTTTAAATCTGGTTTATTTCTTTTTCCTAGTTGTTCCCATTCCGAGAAACTCTGTCCTGTTGACATGCTATGGGATAGCAGCAAATGTGAGTGTGTTTTACAGGAGGAGAGTCCACTTGCTGCAATGGAAGGTAATGAGAGCAGCATGAAATAATAATAGTAATGATAAAAATAACAACAATAGCAACTAACATTTATTGAGTGCTTAATATGACCTGGCAATGTTGTAAGCCTTTTATATGTATTAACTCATTATATCCTCACAGTAACCTATAAATGTACTATTATTATCCTCTTTTTTATAATTACAAAGTGTACATACTATGATGTCTAGTGATTTTCTCAAGGTCATACAGCTAAAAGTGATAGAAGCAGTCAGATTCCGCAGCCCTCTGTGCTTTAATTATATAGCAAACCCACTAATGCATTATCTGCTTTATAACATTAAAGAAAAGTCCAAAATAAATAGAGCATCTCAAAATATTTAATTTGAAAGGGGATGGTAATCTTTAATGAAAGCCAATTCAGAACTAAACAGTTAACCACATTTTACTAATTTATTTATATAAAAATCTCACCAGAACATAAAGTAATTTTGGATTTCTTGGTTTCTTTTAATTGTGTCATGTGAAAACATAACAGTAATTTGAAAAAAAGGAGGGGATAAGAAGAAACTTTTTCTTAAACTAAATCAAATTAAAAGCAAAACACAGCTATTAGACTAAGGGGAATTGGGAACCAAATGTGATGGGCAAACATCACTGCTCATAACTCATAATGCTATGATTTATGATGGTGAGCATTTGGCTAAAAATTAATGCATTTTTGTTTATTTACCAGAGAACTTGATATGATTCCACTGGAAAAAAAATTGTGCAATTTTGAACTTTGCTTGTTTAAAACTATGATTTGCAAGCAAGAACAGTAAGGATTCAACCCTAACGAATCAGTCCTTAGAAACCATAAGTAATACTTTACTTCCTATATTTCTGTCAGCATGAAAGTTTAACCCAGATTTTGAGGGAAACTTAATGTTCATGTAGTTTAAATGCACATGAAGATCTTGAATGTTATCTGTGTCCTTCTCACCAAAATCCATCTATCCCCTGCTGGACAAACATCAGTCATGGAGAAACTCACCATCTACCAAGGCGGCATAGTTACTCTGACCATACCCTTAACACTAGTAAACTATATTGAACCCAAATCTCTCTACTGTCAATGGAATTACAGTGAGAGTCACATATATAAATTGCATTTTATAGTACTCACATTAAAAGGTCAAAAGAAACAGGTGAAATGATTTCTCATATATTTTATTTAATCCAACATATCAAAAATTGTGTCATTTTATCATGCAACCAATATAAAATTTATTAATGATTTGTCCTCATTTTTTGTGCTATGTCTTTGAAATCCACTGTGAATTTTATACATACAGCACATCTGTATTTGGAGTTGCCATTTTTTGCTCAACATGGTCTGTAGCTACCATGTTGGATATACCAGCTCTAGAGTGTCAACTCGTTATTTCAGAGTCATGTAAACAAGTATAATTCTTCCTCCATGTGACTCGTTTATAACAGTGTTAGTGCGTTGTTGTGAGAGGCAATATACATAGAACTTATAGGCTACTAGTATGCTAGTCAAAGTTTTCCTGGTCCACAGCTTCTGAGAGAGATTTGTACTCAGTAGATTTGCATGCAAGTACCATGCATTAGAGGGAATCAGGACTGGGCAGAGGGAGAAGATGAACTGTATTGTAATATTACTAGCTAAGAGGTGTCAGCCAACCCTATGGGCAGCAGAAGCTGGGATGGTCCTTGGGAGGATATCCCCCAAATTCCATCAGTTTATTGGTAAAAATGATAAATGGAACAAGGCTGGGCCCTATGAACTTGTCATTCATTGTATGTGGGCTACCTCGGGGAGGAGATGTAACCTTAGGTAACATGGCCTCTTTCTGCTGAAGGTAATTCCTGGGGAGGGACGCAGCTAGTGCACATGGGTGCTGAGGGTTAGGCAGAGTAGTGGGAAAAGAGAGAAGGGTTCTGAGCAGGGGGGGGAATGAGTGCTCAGGACTGGAGGTGAGAGAGCATAGCATGTTGGAGTGCTGGAAGAAGTTGCCTGGTGTTGATATAATGGAAGAAGAGGGGCAGAAGTGAGAGAGAAAGCCGGAGAGATTCAGAGGGTACCCTATGAACATTGTCCCAGAGCTTAGATGTGATGCTAGGGGCAAAGAGAAATCACTCAACTGGTTCAAGCAGGAGACTGGCAGTAACAATTAGCATTTTAGGAAACTCAATCCAGTGACAGAGTAGAAGAGTATGAGTTCTCCTAGGATTGGAAAAGAGGCAGGGTACCTTCTGAGAAGTTGTAGCATTGATGGAAGTGAAAGGCATGGGGTAACCTGGATCACAGTCACTTCTAATTTTCATGTCCCATAATTCAATTAATGTGGGACAAGTTCCTGGTCACATCTCCAATAGTCTTATCCAAATGGATGACATATACTGAGCTTATTGTTCACTAAACTCCTTTTGCACACTTGTGGCAGCCTTTTGAATAATAACCTCATCCCTGAATGAGCACATTTGAATTAGTGAATCTAAGTCCAAATGAATTTTATCCAGTGAGATTCAGGTCATTGCTCTAAACAGTTTTTTAAAAAATACCAAAAAAAAAAAAAAAAGGAAAGAAAAATTGAGTAGTCCTGATTTTGTATTTTATATTCCTCAAGATAGCCCCAACTTCAAGAATTTACTTGGAAAATATCCATCCGTTTATTGATAAAAATGATAAATGGAACAAGGTTGGGAACGGAATACATTCGCATTACATCATCAACCTCCCTAGGATTTAAATCAATATATAATACTACAAAGCCATTGTAATCAAAACAACCTGGTACTAGCACAAAAACAGGCATATATACCAGTGGAATGGAACAGAGACCCCAGAAATCAACCCACACCTTCATGGTCAATTAATATTTGACAAAGGAGGCAAGAGCATACAATGGAGTAAAAACAGTCCCTTCAATAAATGGTGTTGGGGAAAATTGGATAGATACATTCAAAAAATGAAACTAGATGACCAACTTATACCATATATAAGAATAAACTCAAAATGTATAGAACACTTAAATGTAAGTGGTGAAGCCATAAAAATCCTAGAAAAGAAACATAGACAGTAAAATCACAGACATTTCTCATAGCAATATTTTTGCCAAAATATCTCCTAGGGCAGAAGAAGCAAAGGAAAAAATAAATGAGACTACATTAAATTAAAAGTTTCTGTATAGCAAAAGATGGTTCTGATGTCAAACCATCAACAAAATGTAAAGGAAGCCCACTATGTGGGAGAACATATTTGCCAATGAAAAGGGGTTAATTTCCAACATATATAAAAAACTTATACAACTCAACACCAGGAAGACAAACAATCCAATTAAAAATGGGCAAAGGACCTGAACAGACACATCTCCAAAGAGGACATACAGACGGCCAATAGATACATTAAAAAAACACTCAAAGTCACTAATCATCAGAGAGATGCAAATTAAAATGACAATGAGATACCACCTTACATCTGTCAGAATGTCTGCTATCAATAAATCAACAAACAAAAATTGCTGGTGAGGATGCAAAGAAAAAGGAAGCCTCGTGCACTGCTGGTGGGAATGCAGACTGGTGAAGCCATTGTGGAAAACAGTGTGCAGTTTCCTAAAAAAAACAACAACTAAACTTAAAGTAGAACTACCATTTGACCCAGTGATCTCACTACTGACAATATATCCTAAGAATATTGAAACACCCATCAGAAAGAATATATGTACTCTATGTTCCTAGCAAGTTATTATAAAGTTATTTATAATAGCCAAGATCTGGAAATAGTCCAAGTACCCATCAGTAGATGAGTGGATTAAAAAACATGGTACATCTACACAATGGAATACTACATTGCTGTAATAAGAATGGAACTCACCCTTTGAGATAGCATGGGTGGACCTGGGTATTATTATGCTAAGTGAAATAAGCCAGTCAGAGAAAGACAATACCATATTTATTCATGAATGACTTCAGCTGTTTCATTCAGTTCTCCTACATCCAGTCTCCGTTACTTTTAACTTGTCTAGAGAGACTGAGGCCTGCCTCTGCCAACTATCTTGCTGAAGTTCAGTGAACACCTAAGTGGGCTGTGTTTCCCTAAACCCGTGGTCAACAAATTACAACTTGCAAGCCACATGCGGCTCTTTGGCCCCCTGAGTGTGGCTCTTCCACAAAATACCACAGCCTGGGCGAGTCTATTTTGAAGAAGTGGCATTAGAAGAAGTGTAAGTTTAAAAAATGTGGCTCTCAAAAGAAATTTCAATCGTTGTATTGTTGATATTTGGCTCTGCTGACTAATGAGTTTGCTGACCACTGAGTAAACCACGGGTCTAAGAATGGAGTTAATCTTGCCAGAAGTTTTCTAAATGAGTCTCTACTGCCACCTTGTGATCCATGGAAATCTATAAGCGCTTCTTAACTCTCCTTTAATAACAAGCTATTCTCATCTTGTCCCAAAGTGACATTCGCTTCTCTGGCATTTGGCTTACAAAGCTCATCTTTTTTCCTCTTTGAAGATCATTAATTACTGAGCAGTTAAAACTATGAGATTGGATGACACAAGGTTTCCATTATTACTGGTCAGATAGTGGCAAGAACATATGGTGTAACCCAATGTTTTGGAATGTTGTATAAGATTGTTCAGTGTCCATACATCAGCTGGACTCAGGATCCTCTTATTATACCAAATGAACTCAAAAAATACTTATCAAGTGCCTATTTTATGCCAGAACAATGAAACTTGGTTCCTGTAATCTTTAGGATTTTTAAAATATATATTTTATTGATTTTAGAGAGAAAGGGAGAGGGAGAGGGAGATAGAAACATTAGTAATGAGAGAGAATCATTGCTTGGCTGCCTCCTGCATGCTCCCCTACTGGGGATCTAGCCTGCAACCCAGGCATGTGCCCCGGGCCAGAATCGAACCTGGGACCCTTTAGTCTGCAGGCTGACACTCCATCCACTGAGCCAAACCAGCTAAGGCATATTCTTTTTAATTAATGGAGGAAACAGAGACATAAACAGACAAATATAAAAAGTCTAAAAAAGGACAGGATGGAAATATACACATAGTAAGGGCACTTGGCTAAACTTGCAGAATTTGATAAAAATATTGGGGGAAAGAATTGCTAGCAGAGGGAAGTATGAGCCCAAAGGCATGAGTGTAGAAAAAAATACTATAACTTATAATTGGTATGGGTGGAAGAGAGAGAGAGAGTATGAGTATGGTTCATGTTTGTTCATGGAGTGTCTTGTATGTCCTGGTAGGAAAATTGGCTTTTATTTTGAAAGAGAGGGTAACTTTTTAAGGTACTTAAATCACTAGTGAATAGATTTGCATTTGATAACCTTATGGAGAATGAATTGAAAGGGTAAAACTGTTTTGGCAGCCATCTACACACAAAAAAAATACAAGGTACTGGCTGAATTGAAGCAGTGGTAGTCATAATGAAAAAGAATGAACAAATTTAGGGAGGCAGAAATCAGAAAGAATGAACAATTTCAGGGAGGCTAAACTCAGAAGTGGATGGACATGGTGATTAGGTTTAATATAGAAGACAAGTCAAGGGTAATGACACCATAACTTTAATCAGGCAAACTGGAGAGAAGCAGATTTGGGTAAGAAAGTAAACATATTCTTGCTCTGAAACCTTCAATAATGCTAAGGAGATATAGTCAAGTTATTCCAAAATTTCTCTTTCGTTTTTTGCAATGAATTTCAACTCGATGATTAGACTTGGACAAGGAGCAATTGTACACTTTCTAGAAGTATCTGTTAGCTAAGTGTATATAAAACTTCTCAGGCCCTCCTCTCTCAGCTGAATGTGTCTCCCAGAAGGTATCTGTGGAATCCAAGTTCATTATCTCTATTTCATTTTTATATTACTGTTGTGATCTGTGGTGAGGAAATAAATCACTGTTTCTATCCACAATATGAAAAGGCTGAAGTGTATTTCTACAGTGCCAATACTTCTGTTCCTCTCTCCTAATTTTCACCTGAAAACTGGGGATGACTAGACTCATAATCCGTACACATCCTATATTTTATTATTCATACTTGATTGTAAAAGTTTGCCTTTTAAACAAGTCACCAACCTAAAAATCTCTAAAAATTATTACCAAGAATATTCAGTTTATAACATTTTTATCACAAGCTGAAGAGAACACACGGATTCTGTATTTTAATTATGAAATTAGAGGTGAATCTACTTCATTGTGGAAAGATTAGGGGGAAATCTACAGGAAAGGAGATTTCGTGAATTCAAGTGATTTGAGAATGATGTAAAGAATACACTTTGGGAATGATGTTATCCATGCTACAGCTATTCAACCAATACCTCTCTATTTCTGTGTAGACCCCTCTCCCCTCCAGGAGCTGACTCTCTGTGGGCCACACATGAAGTTTGATGAAGATAGTTGCGAGTGTGTGTGTAAAACCACCTGTCCCGCAGATCTCATCCAGCACCCAGAAAACTGCAGTTGCATTGAGTGCAGAGAGAGTCTGGAGAGCTGCTGCCGGAAGCACAAGGTATTTCACCCAGATACCTGCAGGTGAATGGCTTTTTCACTTTCGCCTTACCTTGACTCATCAACATTTAATGTAAATGCCATTTTGATTCAGTGGGATTCCTTATTAAGCCATTTTTTTCACTGCCCAAGCCCCTTTTTGATAATAAAACAGAGGTTTGGCAACTAAGAGTAAGCAAGAGATTACAGAGTGATGATTAATTGAGAAATCAAGAAAATCCTGCTTGCTATGATTGGCTCATGGATCTTAAGCAAAAACTAGAATGATGAAATGTAAACAATAATTTGTGGGGAGTAGTGGGGGGTTTCAGATCAGTAGACTCTTGGGTTCAGTAGCTCTCAATATATGAACATATATGTTTATTTGGTTTGTTTTTTTTTTTTCTTTGAGAAAGAGGATATCACTGGATTTATGTAGCAAGAAAATCACTGATGACTAGAACAGTGCACTTCAATAGATTTGGATTCCATATGGGATAACTATTTAAAATTTTATATTGACACTTTAAATACATATCTGGAAAATCTACTTTAAAAACTTAAATCAGAACAAAGCTATTTCGTTGAATTATAGTTGTGGATTCTGAATTCTCACGTTTATTTATTTATTATTATTTTTTTTTTACAACAGCTGTGAGGATGGATGCCCCTTTCACACCAGAATGTGTACAAACGCTAGATCAGCCTGTGCAAGGCATTGCCGCTTTCCAAAGGAGAAAAGGCCTACCCAGGAGCTCCACAGTCAAGAAAACCCTTGATTCAGCTTCATTCCCAAGTTCCTCCTCCCACATTTTAAACAGCATGCCACTTTGCCAAGTTGCTGTCACTATTTTTCCTTTTTCCCCAGGTGTTGGAAAAAATTCATTTCACATAGCACTAGGTGAATCCAACCAACCTTCCATTAAACAGCAGCTGAGGATTCCCTGGTTGCTTGATAGATAGCTTCTCTGCACACCAGGGAGTGGAGAAGAGTGAGCCTGTGGAAACCTTTCTGTTCTTTGGTGAATGAAAAAGGTTTGAGCATCATGGCATGCTAAGTGCTATGTGACAGATTACTCCCAGCAGATGAGGCAACTTGAATAGTCTCGGAGTCCTTTGCTAATTGCAACTCTCGTGAATTATTCTGATTCTTCCTTATGCAGATTCCATTCATATGATCAGCACTGATTTTCTGATTGCTGTCTAGCTTGTAGTTTTGAATTTACCAAACTCCTGTCTGTTGTTTCATATTTAAGTGTATTTAAAGAAAATAAACACCAATATTCAAGCCATTGGATTTTGTGTGCTATTTAATATGGTTCCACTCTAAATTTTATGCTAAAGAAAACAATGTTGTGAAGAGAGAAAAGAATTTAGAAGTGGGGCTTGTGGGGAGAGACATAAGCACAGCAAAACTTGACACCAGTTTTGGAAAAAGTAAGGAGTAGCTATCATAAGGTTTAAGATGCTAAACCATGTTAAATAAATATGACCCCCAAATCAGTTAGAAACCAATCTTTTCTTTGAGAGTCAATTTAACTTGACTTGACCCTCATCCCAGGGCAAAGGGGAGCCCATGGACTTCCTAGACATCTTTGGATCTGCCCCCAAACCTGCTCAAACCATGTTTTGGTTAGTGGCTCTATCTTCCTAATTGCCATTTAGATGGAGCTATTATCAGAAATTCTGGTCTAGGACAAAACTATTTGCAATTTGGCTTTGCACTAAAACCCCTCCCTGTTGCCTCCTCAACCCCCAATAAACACCAAGAGATTTGTACTTGGATTCTGAGGCTGGATCTGATCTTGGGTGGGGCTGGTCCTCAGGGTGGAGGTGGGGTAATTGGCCTTTTGCCTTATTAGAATTCACTGGTCATTGTACAGAAATACTTACATACTAATCGTTTTGGTATGTGGGCTGATAAATCTCAATTACCAAGAGCTTAAAGCAAATACAATAAATGCCAGTGATGTGTGATATCCCTAATTATTTAAGCTACAATGCCAGAGAGTTAGAAATATGACAGCTCCTATGATACATCTGTGACTAAGGCAGTGTAGTGGGTGGTTGTTTAGAGATGGAAACAGATTGGAGAGCATAATGATCAAGTTGGATGATATTAAAATGCTGTCTGAGATACTTGAGAAAGGAGATGACACAAATAATCCATTTAAGGCTTTTAAGGGAAGCAGTAGATTGGTGAAAATTGTAAGCTTAATGAATTTGGTCAGTAAGAGCCAAACTTTGTCTAATTTACTCAAAATCCTCAGTGTGAGAACAATGTAGTGCATATAGTAGATGCCTAATAAATAATTATTTAATAAATAATGAAGTATTGCATTGATTTTGTGATCAGGGAATGGCAACTCATCTGCCGCTGGTGAACTCTCACTCTCTAAGGCCTCTCTACATTTGCCTTTCCATCATTCATTGTCTCTTGAGAGCTTCTTCACAGCATGGCCATTGGCTTGCAGTTGGAAAGTTTCCAATAGGACATGCCCCAGTAGATAAGTATAATAACTATCTATCCCTCTCTCTTCCTTTCTGTGAAAAATCAATAAAATCTATTTTTAAAAAATGAAAAGGAGACCAAAGCAATGTTGTATACCATCTGGTAGTATTAGTGTTAACTGTGAAGCGAACTTCAAGTTATTAAGCTCGAATAATAAATATCCTTGAGTCTTCATCATCTTTATGCTCTGATGCTTCAATAACACGGAGTTGAGAATCCACTCCTACCTGTGCCTTACTCATTAAGTTTAATTCATTAATACACTTCAAACCCTACAGCCAAAATGCTCTTTGAATTATATCACTGCACTGTCATTTTTATTGGATATATAATATGTCAGGGACTGTGCTGGCATTGGATAAAGAAATTCACTAATACAACTAAAACTTAGTCCCTGTCTATTACCAGGAACAGACCCTGCCTCAGCTAACTCTCTGTCTGGGAAGGCAGACAGTTAACAAGCAAATACAAATTGTCAGTTTTTGGAAAGTCCATGTGAGTTTCCAAGAAGACACACGTTTTCAAGAATCAGGTTTAGAAGGAAGAGGGATTTCAGCCAGCCAGACAATTTGAATATCACCTGATAAATGCTGTATCAGCAAGTGGCCAAAGTACATAAAAATACACAAGAGGGAGGACTTATTTCTCTCTGAAGGTTTGGGGAGAGCATCAGAAAGGAGCTGACATTTTCAGGGATGAATAGGTTTTGTACTGGCTTAGAAGAGGTGTTGATGGTCTCCAGGGAGGCATTCATTCTCAAAAGTATGTAGGGCGGGGCTGGGAAATTCAAGTATGGACAGGGACAGTGAAAGGTGGATCAGACCACGCCCACTGATTCATTAGCTTCTTGGCCAACCACCACTATAGCCAGTTGAACCAGTATGATTGGGAGTTGATATTTCAGCTCAGATTTTCTCTCTCTAGAGTATACAGTTGCAACATAAAACACAAAACGCCCAGTTAAATTTGAATTTCAGATAAACGATGTATCATTTTTTTAAATAAAGTCCCCAATAGCTGGGACATACTATACAAAAATATTTATCTGAAATTCGAATTTTTAAAAAATCTGATTTGACTTATTTGTATATTTTCATTTGCTACATCAGGAAACCCTACCAGAGTGGTAAGACCCAGAATGGTTCTGCTGTGGCAGAAAAGTCAGAAACAGAATGACACCATGACCCCGCCTTTCTCTAGCCTCCCCACCGGTATCTTTCCAATCCAAAGCCAGAGAGAAGAGGCTTCCAGAAAAGAAACGCTGTAACTAGGCAACCAAGGTTCGAACCCACCCAACCATTCCACCTTGGGCCAGATCCAGTTTTAGAACGGCGGTGCATTCTGGGAGTTAGTTTTCGAAGTTCGGGCTTGCCTTCAGAGGCCACCAGACTACAACTCCCAGCAGCGCTCACGGGTCGCTGCGGGGCACGCTGGGACTTCTCGCTCCGTACCACGCGGAGGGGCCCCGGAGGACTGCTTGTGTAACAAGACGCCGCGGCCGGTTTTTATAGACTCGCGACACTAGGTATTCATAGGAGAGGTTAAACCCTCGCTTACTGCTTTCCCTACAGAGACGACGATTCTTCCGTAACTTTGTGGAGACATGCGCATGCGCACTCAAGTTGCGGCCCGAGCGGAGGAGCGGGGTGTGAGCGTTGGCCTCGCACGTGATCCCGGCGCCACGTCGCCATTGGCTGCTTCGGGGGCGCGGTGCTCGGGCGCGGACGCCTGCGATTGGTGTTTGGGAGCGGGGGGGTGGGACTCCGGCGGCTGCCGCGGGAGGTCCGGACACCGGCGGCCATAGGACTCGCCGGTAAGTGCGCGTCCAACGTCCCCCCGCCGGCGCTCTCCGCCGCTTTCGGGTGGGACGGGGCTGCCCCGCGGACGCCGGGCTGGTCGTGGGGGGCGGGGCTCGAAGTCCGGGCGGAGGGTCCCGGTGTCCCTATGGGCAGACTTAGTGGAGCCGAGTCTTCCCTGCCCGGACACCGGCGCTCCCCAGTGTCCGCTCCAGGGATGGAGCCGGGCAGTCCCTGGGGTGCGCGACAGCCCCGTCCTCTGGACCCCAAACTCCCCTGTGGGTCCCAGAGGCTCCCGGGGCACCCCCGCTGCTAGGACTGGCCCCGGACTCCTCCGCCGGGGTAGAGACTGGCTGGCTCTCTCTCTTCCCCTGAAGCGGCTCCAGGGGGACCCTGGACGGATCGCTCAACTTCTTTGGCTTTCTATTGAGAGGGGTCCGCTAGCTCTCCCAGCCTCTCCTTCGCTGTAAAAGCTAAGATTTCGTGAACGTGCCCGTCATTGAGCTTTTACACATAAAGCTGTTAGGTGGGACGGGATGGAAGTGGGCAGACTCCCCAGGGCACATCGGAGGTTGGTGAAGAACTGCTCTCTCTTGGTTCGTTCCTCACTGTGTTCGTGATCATCCTTTTAAATGGACTGCAGCTTGAAATCAGTAGGTAGGCGACGAACCACAGCCAAAATGTTGGTGGAGCCCCTTAAAGTACAAACTTGGAGAATCTCAGTAGTTGATCAGATGGAATCATAATTAGTAAGTCCCATCCACAAACACAGAGTATTTCTGAGACGATGCAAAGTGTTCCAAAATGTATTTATTCATACTTTAAGAGCTGATAGCTCAGTTTTGAAAACGAAATGCATTTTAATAGCGCCTTTATAAGGATTCAAAGTGTGCGTATACGTTTCTGGGACACCTTATGTTTAAAATAGAGATTCATTTGTTGGCGAGAATTGGTAAGGCTTGACACCTGCAGTTAATGTGCATTTTATGAGCGTTCAGGTGAAATTGGAAAGTTAGATGGGTAGGATGGCTTCCCGTTGTAAAGCTGAGTTTCTGGGGACATGGAAATCTCATTTGTGAAGCTGAGGGAGAGTTTCAGTAGGTTTCCAATACTCTGGCTTTAAAAGTCTAACAATCTGTAATAGTACTGAGTATGTGAGTGGGTATTTTACACTAATACGAATCTAGGATTCCCCTGAGAGAAACATTTCCTACTTTAGATGTAGAAAATGGTCCCAGATTCAGCCAATCTCTAGTCCTTTTTAAAATATATTTTTATTGATTTCAGAGAGGAGGGCGAGCGAGGGGGAGAAAGAGAAAGAGAAACATCTATGATGAGAATCATTAATTGGCTGCCTCTTGCATATCCTACACTGAGGATCAAGCCTGCAACCCGGGCATGCCCTGACCTCCTGGTTCATAGGTTTGTTGCTCAATCCCTGAGCCACACTGGTCGGATTGTAGTTCAGTCTTTATCTTCAGAGTCCAAACTGAAGGGAGGGATACTCATGGCAGAAAGGTCATGTTACTGAAAGAAAGTTTAATATGAAGGGAGTAGTTTGATCATCACCATCCCTGAGTACAGAAGAAAAATGGCTGTCTGCAGCATGTGCTACTCGTGGCACTTGAAAAAACCGCTCTCAAAATGACAGCTCCAGCTCCAGGTATATTGTAGTGTGCACCACACACAGGTCAAACTAGCAGAACTTTGTGAGACTCATTGAGTCAGTGGCCAAGTTCTGTAAAGAGCCCTAATATATAATTATTGGAATGAACTGGTTTGTTAGCATGGCAAATTATATAGGATGGTGTAAGAAACGATTTTTTTTTTGAAATTATGCGTAGCAGTCTTTTTAAAGCAAAATTAAGATAGAAAGACATTGCAGGATGTAGTCTAGTTGGATGGCACACGGCAAATGCCAAGCTGGTCAATCCCAAATGAGTACATTCATGATATGCTTTGTTTTCTTTCTAGGGGGAAAGCTAGCAAATTTACAGGAATATTAAAGCCATATTTTGCTGAAACCGGTTTGGCTCAGTGGATAGAGTGTCGGCCTGCGGACTGAAGGGTCCCAGGTTCGATTCAGGTCAAGGGCATGTACGTTGGTTGCGGGCATATCCCCAGTAGGGGGTGTGCAAGAGGCAGCTGGTCGATGTTTCTCTCTCATCCATGTTTCTAACTCTCTATCCCTCTCCCTTCCTCTCTGTAAAAAAATTAATAAAATAGATTTTTTTTTAAAAAGGCCTATTTATATTTGGCTTTAGGATGTAGAATATGGTTCTCTGAGCTGAGACCCCGTTTTCCTCTCTTTTTCAGGTACCAATTCCATACCTTCACTGGGTTGCTGCAGAGGACTGATGCCTAAACTGTCTCAGCATGGCCTACCGAGGCGGAGGTGGACAGGGCCATGGCCCCTCAGCTGCGCTGCACCCCGTCATCCCCGGAAGTCTTTGCCCATGTAGGACAGCTACCCACAACATATGCATGGTGTCGGACTTTTTCTACCCGAACATGGGAGGCGTGGAAAGCCACATCTACCAGCTCTCTCAGTGCCTGATTGAAAGAGGACACAAGGTCATCATTGTCACGCACGCTTACGGAAACCGGAAAGGCATCCGTTACCTCACCAAAGGCCTCAAAGTCTATTACTTGCCTCTGAAAGTCATGTACAACCAGTCCACAGCCACCACCCTCTTCCACAGTCTGCCTCTGCTCAGGTACATCTTCGTGCGAGAGAGAGTCACCATAATCCACTCTCATAGTTCCTTTTCGGCCATGGCCCATGACGCCCTCTTCCACGCCAAGACCATGGGGATCCGTACAGTCTTCACGGACCATTCCCTTTTTGGATTTGCTGATGTCAGCTCGGTGCTCACAAACAAGCTTCTAACTGTATCTCTCTGTGACACGAACCACATAATCTGTGTGTCTTACACTAGTAAGGAAAACACTGTGCTCAGAGCAGCACTGAATCCTGAAATAGTGTCCGTCATTCCTAATGCGGTAGATCCTACTGACTTCACTCCAGACCCGTTAAGGAGGCATAATACCATAACTGTTGTTATTGTCAGCAGACTTGTTTACAGAAAAGGTAATGAAATGGAACAATAGCTGCAGTCCCACTGCACAGACTTTTTCTTATAGAAAGCTGTTGAATACTTGTGTATGATTGTTTGGCTTTTTCGTGACTACTGCATTCAATATTGCAAAGAAAGGCTGAATATTGTTTTCCATATTCAAAAAGAAAATTTGGGAACAGTGGTGAATGCTGCCTTCCCTCGCCCCCCTCCACCTTTGGTATTTTATTTATTTATTTATTTATTTAAAATATATTTTATTGATTTTTTTACAGAGAGGAAGAGAGAGGGATAGACAGAAACATCGATGAGAGAGAATCATCAATCAAGCTGCCTCCTGCACCCCCCCCACTGGGGATGTGCCTGCAACCAAGGTACATGCCCTTGACCGGAATCGAACCAGGGACCTTTCAGTCCACAGCCTGATGCTTTATCCACTGAGTCAAACTGGTTTCAGCTCCACCTTTGGTATTTTAATAGTTACTTAAAAATAAAACCAACCTGATGGTCTTTAACAGATCATGATCAGGTCTTTATTTTTTAAAAATATGTTTTTATTGATTTCAGCGAGAGGAAGGGAGAGGGATAGATAGGTGGAAACATCAATGATGAGAGAAAATCATTGAACAGCTGTCTCCTGTACGCACCCTACTAGGGATTGAATCTCCAGCTCCAACATGTGCCCTGACCAGGAATCGAACCATGACCTCTTGGTTCATAGGTTGATGCTCAACCACTGAGCCACACTGGCTGTACCCAGATCAGGTTTTTTTTTAAAAGTTAAAACAGCCCTGGGCATGCAGTAAGAAATACAGGGCGGGGACCACCTCCAATTTCTAATTGCAAAAGTAATGTCTTTTCTTCGCAGATATTTTGAAAACTAAGAAAAGCACAAAATTGAAAACTAAAATCAACCGTTCGTGTACTATTCAGGAATGACTATAGTGAATATTTTAATTTATGGCTTTCCTGTCTTTATTATGCATATATTCAAAATCTGTGAGCTTGTTCTGCCATTACTGTTTTGTATTTAATTTAATCATAGATAAGCCATTAGTGACATATTGTCAGGTAAGTGATGAAGGAAAGGACTAGTGCTATCCTACTGTGTGATTGAGGACTAGCTACAAAACATCTCTGACTCTCAGGGTTTTCATTTGTGTGATGTGGGTAACGGTGGGAATTGTGAGAATTCATCAATGGTTCCTATGAAGCACTTAGCGCAGTTTGTACTTGATGTGTGTTTGCTGTTATCAAGAAGGACTCTCTTAGTGCCTCTGCAGCACTTCATGTCCCTGCAATAGAATTTGTAGAGCCTTATTTACTGTCTGAAACAGTCTGGTTAATCCAAACATACATGGTTTTCTGGATGCTCTTTGAAAACCTAACTATTATAGTAATCAGAATTAAAGTAGGGATCATTAAAAAGCTAATTATAACCTCCTCTTAAATATTTGAGTTCAACTCCAAATATGATTAATGTGCCCTGAAATACTAATAGTTTGATGTAGGCCTTCAGGCTTAAGAGGACAGGTCCACTGATTTTAGCTGCATCATTTTTCCTTCACAGTTATGTTCAAAAAGCATCATTTACAATGGCCAATTTGGTTTCTTTTAAATGGGGTGAGAACCTAAAGCCATATGAAACAACGTGCTTCCAGATGTTCATTTGTTTTTGACTTTATATAGTGGTTTAGGATAATACCATGGTCGGCAAACTGCGGCTCGCGAGCCACATGCGGCTCTTTGGCCCCGTGAGTGTGGCTCTTCCACAAAATACCACTGCCTGGGTGAGTCTGTGTTGAAGAAGTGGCATTAGAAGAAGTTTAAGTTTGAAAAATTGGGCTCTCAAAAGAAATTTCAATCGTCATGCTGTTGATATTTGGCTCTGTGGAGTAATGAGTTTGCCGACCACTGCCCTAATATGACAAGAGCTTTTTCCCGAGACTTTATTCTTCAAACTGTTGAACTTAGTTTCATAGAAACTCATTTAGTCAGTTTCAGTGTTTTTATTTAAATCACCAAACATAGTAACGTGCTACTGGCATCACACCGATCTGGGGACAACACCGCTGATTCTTGGTAAGTGTTAAGGTTAGTGGTGGCATCAGAAGTGTACAGATGTGCTAGGGTCCTTGTCATAGAGAGCCCTGGTCATAGAGGCTCTTAAGCAGAGGTTGGTGAGAAAACGTACTGCGTTTTCTAGGTTAAAAGCAGTGAGATGCTGTCATCCTCTAACCAAGAAGTTGTAGTTGACCAGCATTCTGGATTCTGATATTGCTGATGTGTTTGTTGTGACAGAAAATGTGTTTACAGTGTTTCCTAATCAAATAGTATATCTTTGTGGGGTAGCTAGCTAAGGAAGTCTGATGCATGCATGGTTGAGGATCAGAGCAAAATTAACTATACAATGATTAAGCTTGTTGCATGGATTCACTAGTTATGGTATTTTAACCAGCTGAGATAACTACCAACAGGGTGAGGTTATAGCCTTTCCTGTTCTCAGTTCAATAACTTAACACTTATCGAACCCTTTCCATATGCTAGACAGAAGTGAGCAGTTCTATTAATGGCCCATTAGTGATTAACAAATTAGTTTCCTTACATGTTCATTTGGACAAGATATGAAAGGTCCACTGGAAGGTACTGAGTAAGGAACAGGAGAAATCAAAGTTCTTATCACCCAGGTTTCCTGACTGGCCTCTTCCTTCTTTTTGCCCAGTGAGGGTTCACAGTGCTGCTGCGCATGTGCAGGCCCAGCCCACTTCCGCTGACAGCGGTAATGACAGCTTATGTGTATGGTCTGCAGTTGATAGAGCTTGTGCGTGGTACAATGCTTCACTTGGCCCTCCCAGCAGCTGTAGGGTATCTGTTATGTGTATGTAGCAGATAGTGTCAGAGAGGGTAAGTAATTCACTTAGGTCACACAGTAAGCAACAGATGACAAACATGAGTTCAGCTCTTCCTGGGTGAAGGTCCCTCTTCCATCCTGGCCCAGCCACAATTATCTGAAGTATAGGTCCAGAAGATTCTTTAAAATATTGTTAGATTGACCTTTAGGACAGTTTGAATCAGGAATTTTCCTTGTCCATTTTGGATAACTAAAGATTGAAAGTCCTTTTGTATGTTTCACTACGTTAAACTCTTCTTAGAGGCACCAGGACATTTTTATTGTGGGGGAAAACCTTTTCTTCTTAGAATAATATTATAGATAATTGACAGTATTAATCAGTTCTGTTTCTTATAAGGCAGTTGTCAGGAATAAATGACAGAGGATATTTAAAGTATATTGCCTGACATAGCACTCAGTAAATGTTAGCTATTATCAGTAATTATGATTATTACTCTATATGTGTTTGTTTTTCCTTAAAGAATGGGTTTTTAACATTTGTATTAGAAGGGAGAGTGGAGAAAGAAATAATATGAAAGAATTATAGGAGGCTACATGTTAAAAGTCATTAAGCCACTTTCTTGTTCATCTAGAAATCCAATTGTTAGATTTGGTAATAGACTTGAAACAAAGATAGCTTAGGTTTTAATGAGAAGCCTTCATAATTCAGAAAAACCACATGTGAATTTATGTTTGCTAGTGCAATCATTTTGAAAATACTAGTAGAGTGTACTTAAGTCCTATTTTGAATTACTTCATAAAAATGACCTATTTATAGGGTGTCTCAAAAAGTATACACAGACTTTGAATAATTATAAGGGCAGTGTTTATTAAAATACATTTCATTTTCAAAATTGAGCAATGTATCATCTATTAAACTGTGTATACATTTTTTTTGGGGGGGTGGGGAGGGAAATACCCTGTATATCTCTCACCATTTTTTTTTATAATTGATCTGCTTATATTTGGGGAGATTGATAGTGCAATTCTTATGTGTATGTGTGTGTATGTATGCATTTCTTTAATAAGCTACCTGGGTTGTTTTGCATTTTTACTTTGTGTACAATTCGTAATTGTTAATGAGTTAACTTCTCAAATAGTGTCAACATTGCTATCACTTTGGATAACCACTTTCAGACTAGTAGGGCATGATTTATTTTATTGCTTCACATACCTGAGGTTGTATTTACATTAGGGCATGATTTATCTTGTTGCTTCACATACCTGAGGCTGTATAAGGAAAACTAGAGGCCCGATGCACGAAGATTCGTGCAAGAATGGGCTTTCCTTCCCCTGGCTGCCATCACCACCTTTGCTCCAGCATGGAGCCGCCTTTCTGCCTTTGCTCGGGCCCCAAGCCACCTTTCTGCCTTCCCATGCTGCCCAGAGGCCCGAGCAGCTAGGGCGGCGCGGGAAGCCTGCGAATGCAAATTAATCCGCCGGCTTTGTTGGGTTAATTTGCATACCCACTCCTGATTGGCTGGTGGGTGTCATGAAGATATGGTCAATTTGCATATTTCTCTTTTATTAGTGTAGATGTTTCATTAGAAAAAAAGAACAAAGATGCACACTTCTGTTCTCTGGAATGTAATGGCCTGGCTGATGGGTCCTGCCACCTTCATACACCCTCCTTTGGGGAAGTGGGCTATAGTGTGCTTGGATGGACTATTTTAAATTTTGCTAATACCATAGTATTCATTGCAGAATCCTCTGTATAAATTGCGTTCTGCACAAAGTGAAGACAGCAGTTATACTTTGTTGCTTATCACTTTCCTGTATCAGGAAGTGGAATCATAGGCAGTAGAACTTCATAGAGGAAAGAGACTTGAAGTAAACAGGCCTCTTAATATTCTGTATCAGGAGACTTTCCCATCATTAAAGACCTTGCTTGTTAAAAGGTTGGCACAAGGTCTAGATTTCCAGTCAGCTGTCCTGCTTTGCTGGACTTAACTTGAACTCAGGCATTAGCTACCTCAAATACCTTTTCTATGAATGAGCAATGCATAAACATAAGTGAAGATGATACTGAAATGAAAACAGAATAGTACACGTATTGATGTATGGAAGGTAACAATGGATGCCAGTGTGTGTATCTTTAAGAATTGCAACTCTTGGGGGAACTTCTGGCAGTTTGTGAATGATTCTGCCCTCCCAGGAAAGGTTTAAGAGATTCATTTCTCTACACTAGGAGGTTATAGCTAATACTTTTCAAAGTGGGTGGATTCACAGTAGTTCTGATGATTTTTTTAAAAAAGTTTAAATATTAATATCTCTAACATTTAACTTTGTTTTTTATTTCCAGGCACCGATTTGCTTAGTGGTATAATTCCTGAACTCTGTCAGAAATACCAAGATTTAAATTTCATCATTGGAGGAGAGGGACCAAAGAGAATAATTTTGGAAGAAGTACGGGAAAGGTACCAGCTACATGACAGGTATTGATGGCTTCCATATTGTCTGGGGTGTGAAAATATCAGTGACCTAAATTGGGTTTTGGCTACATGTCTGCCTTAGGGGGCTGCTTTTCCTCCATGTATTTGATGTAAAATGTAGTACAAGGCCTATTTAAAAAAATACGTATATAAAATGGGAAACCCTAATTAAAGAATTCACATTTTGTTGTTGTTGTTAGCCCAGTATTACTTGGTTGGAAGCATTCTGGAAGGCACAAAGAGATGTTCAAGCCACATTTAAGAGATAAATATTTAAAAAAATAAATACATAGCATGGCCCCAATCATGTCAGTTCCTCTGTACACACAGATGTGAACATTTCTCTTCCTCAGTAACTTGGATACCAGCGAGGGGTGTGCCTGAGAAACATCAGTTTAAAGGGGATTCTCCTTTATGATACAGAATGTTATGAGGCCTGTGTACGTCAAGTCCAAGGTCTCTTTCCTCTATGAAGTTCTACTGCCTATGATTCCACTTCCTGACACAGGAAAGTGATAAGCAACAAAGTATAATAAATGTTAGTGTCATTTCTGAATAGAGAAACATTTATTTATTATTTATTAACATTTATTAGTGTCATTTCTCTATTTAGAAATGACACATTTACTCATGAAAGCGTATTAATATTTCCATTAAATGCACACTCACTTTGAAAACGATGACATTCGATGTGTGATGAAAGTGATCTGTTTGTGTTTTAACCAACCTACTTCATAAGACCGCTTCTTTTAGATCAAAGTCTGGCAATATTAATTTTTTGTGGTGGGAAGTATTAGGACCAGTAAAAGTCTGAGTATAATATGAATAGCACTCTTGGCTTATAAATTACATTCCTTTCGTCCATAGCATGATTTTCACTGTCCTCTTTCTTCTCTCGTTTCAAAAATCAGAGTGCGTCTCTTGGGAGCCTTAGAACACAAGGATGTTAGAAATGTCTTAGTTCAAGGACATATTTTTCTTAACACTTCCCTTACTGAAGCGTTCTGCATGGCCATTGTGGAAGCAGCCAGTTGTGGTTTACAGGTAAAAAGCTCTGAGGGCTTACATTATTGGGATTTCTGTGCATGTATGTTGAAAACTAATCCGACATGTTTTGTAGTAATTTTGTAAGTTGGTTTTGCTTATCATCCTGAGATATGAATTGTGCTGGACAATGTTTTTTTTTTTTTCTTTCTCTTTTTCTCTTTAAGATTGTAAGTACCAGGGTTGGTGGAATTCCTGAAGTACTTCCAGAAAATCTTATTATTTTATGCGAGCCTTCTGTAAAATCCCTGTGTCAGGGATTGGAAAAAGCTATTTCCCAACTGAAGTCCGGATTACTGCCAGATCCAGAAAAAATCCATAACATAGTCAAGACTTTCTACACCTGGAGGAATGTCGCGGAGAGAACGGAAAAAGTATGTCACTCACCCAGAAAATGGTATTGGATGATTGTGTCTGAATTCCTGAGGTTTCATGTACACGATGGCTTTTTCTTGTACAGGTTTACCATTTTTGTTCTATTCCTTACATTCATGAAGTCTCTCCCTAATGAAAAGAAGTGAACTTTTGGTATATTTACGTTTCTCGTTAAATCATTGCATTTGGCATCTGAAAGTAGTAGTAATGCCATCTACACCTAATTTTCTGGAAGTCACAGAAGTAACAGAGGCAGAAGTAATATTAAAATCTACAAGATGTTTTCTTGAGGCTGTTTAGAATACTCAAGTATTCTAAGTATATGGTTTTACTTAGTCTGGTTGCATCAACTCTGTAACTTGCAAATATTGAATTCAGACTATTTCCTAAAACACTTGTGTTGCTTTTACTAACTACTGTGATTTTCTACAGGCAAAGGATTTTTTTCAGCTTTGGGCTAATTGAGAACATAATAAGTTAGAATTCAAAATGCACATGACAAATGTCAGGGGTATGATCACACAGAAAAATCAGTAATAGAGGATTTCCAGAAGAATAGGTACACGACATAGATTAATACCCTCAGGTGGGAGAGTGTGATTGTGGGAAATGCTTCCTGGTTTCCAGTTAGGGACTTCACTTATTCCACTCGGTTTTGTCCTTTGTTTACTCTCATTTCTTTGTCTGCTTCATGCCTCTTATTACCATGTCACACATAAAGGAAACACTCTGCTTCTTAGTATATAGAAATTGTGAACCAGAAGCTCGGTCAGTTAGGGGCATGGGGGAGATAGTAGTTTAGACGGGTGCTTTATGCTCTCACTGTACTCAGTGGAGCAGCTAGTTTCTAGTCAGAACAGTGAGCAAGATGGAGCAGCCGAGTGTGCAGAATAACTCTTTACTGTAAGCCTCTCTTATATGGTTTGATTGATAAATTCCCGTACATAAGATGAACTCAGATCCTATATAATAAAAGGCTAATATGCACATCGACTGAACCTTAGAATGACTGGTCACTATAATGGGCACTGACCACCAGGGGGCAGACGCTCAACACATGAGCTGCCTCCTGGTGGTCAGTGCGCCAGAAGCTGGGCTCATGGTTGGCGAGTCTCTCCCACCTTCATGGTAGCACTAAGGATGCCCATGGGGAGCGGGCCTAAGCCATCAGTTGGACATCCTCCAAGGGCTCCTAGACTGGGAAAGGGCAGACGCAGGCTGGGCTGAGGGACCACCCCTACCGAGTGCACAAATTTTGTGCACCGGGCCTCTAGTTTGAATATAAGTGCAGGGAAACACTTTTATCTCTAAAAATTGTCATATGCATTTTCCATTGAAATGTGAGATATTTGAGTTAACAGTTTTTTAAAAAAACATATATTGATTTTGGAGAGGAGAGGGAGATAGAAACATCAACGATGAGAGAGAATCATCAATCGGCTGCCTCCTGCACACCCTCTACAGGGGATCAAGCTGGAAACCTGGGCATGTGCCCCAACCTGGAATCAAATCTTGACCTCATGGGTCAACACTCACCCACTGAGCCACGCCAGCCGGACTGAGTTAATAGTTTTGACTGAAATGTCTCGGAGACACTCTCACCTTTTAGAAGCTTTGCAGTATCTCTATCCATCTGAAATAACGGCCTTTTCCTTTGGAGGTCGGAGTGTAGCACTGATTACTTGCCAGGAGTATATGTCAGGGTCAGCTAGGAGGCCTTTTCAGGAGCCGTTCACTCCAGCCTTCTGACACCTCCCTCCACCTCTGCCACTCCCTTGATGCTAAGATGACCCTTTAGGAGCAGAGGTGGAATTTGGGGATGGTTGGCAGGGATATTTGGTTAGACAGTTTTTTGTGTTTTTTTCAATGAGACTCTACTTTGCTTGGTAACCATGGCTCTGTAAGTTGTGACTTCCACTTTCTTGATCACATCATGTAGACCTCAGAAGTCTGAGCTACTGTAGATATTAAGTTCGGGGCAAAGATCTCTGGTGACAATATGTCAGCATATATTAAAGGAGCTAATTAGTGTTATTTTTTAACCACATTTTTTTTTTTTTTTTTTTTTTAGTTTTGCTAAAAGTAATAGTGAAACATCTGTATTTTCTCTGTTTTATATTCTAGGATGATTTATCATATACATTCAGAAAACAAAGTTAGTTCTTTTCTGGAATGCATTAACCTATTATTCTCTTCATAGTAGTAAATTACTTTGTAGCTTAAGATCATAAGTTAATTGACCTGGAAATAAAGGTGAACACAGGTCAGTTTTGAGTTGCTCTTTTAGTTCTACCTGTCCCACACAGGACATTTTGACCCCTTTCAACCTCCTCCTTCTTAGTTTAACTGCTTTTTAGAAAATTGAACAATTGTGATTCACCATTCTCAGTATAATTTGCAACATAATTCTGATTCAAAAGTATTCTAAATATCCTTGGGATAGAAGAGCTAGCTGAAACATCCCGTATCTTTCAAAGGCCATTGGCCTACAGAACTTGTACTGCACCCTGTAATTTTCTTGAGTTCAAAAGGAGATTCTTTACAGATCTCATTGATTCATGAGAAGGAGCACAACTAATGCCCAAATATGATTAAAATTAATGCTGCCCCATTTGCTGTGTTCACATAAGTATCTTTAAAGATCTTTGTGTGTTTTTTAAAAAATATTTCCAAGTTTAGCACCTAATGATTTAAAAAGCAAGCCACCTATGATCAGTTCTCAGCAATAAACTTTGTTTTCTTTGCTGGTGTTTGACTTATATCAAGGGGAGGGGGTGGAAATCTGGCCCATGGGCCGTATAAAGCTTGATAAATCATTTGGTTTGGCTCTGCCAAGGCAACTGGAGGTGGGACTCAAAACTCAGCAAATCTAGGAGCTTTCTTCATAGCAGCGTAAATTTATATTCCGTGAGTTATATTAAGCAAATGATGTTATAAATATCCAAATGGCTCTTGACAGGAAAAACAGTTCCCACCCCTGACCTATACCATCTGCTAAGCTTTCCCCCCATCTCTTTTCCCTTCTTTCATTTGGAGTCCATGAAACGTTTCTGTATATCCTCACCATCTGTGCTCAGCAGCAGGCCTCATGTAGCTGCTGAAAGAAGAGGCGCTCTGTACCCAGAAAGAAGCACACACACTAGATTGTCACTCCCTGGTTGTGGCTGGTGCCTACCAGAGAGGGGAGAGAGCTTCTCAGCCAAGCCAAGGATTAGAAGGCCAGCCCTCTGCAGGGAGTCACTGCTGAATTAAATATGGCCTCCACGGAGGGGACCTGAAGGCAGGTCCGACCTTTTGGGACTTCAGAATTCTCATAGTTGGGTTAACATGGATGGTGATCCCCGGGAGACAGGAGCTGTGGCATGTCTGTTTGTATCACATGGCATCTAGCCTGGGTTTTGTTCGGAATAAGCACTCCCTGAGTGCCGATTCAAAGGCAATCCCTTACCGTGGTGAATATCATGAACCACATCATTTCCATGACAACAGCAGTGCAATGTAAGCGACTTCTGTTTCTTTCTATGACAGCATTGCTGGTCACTGTTGATGTTAGATCGCAGTGCTCATTCTCGGCCTCTCTCCCACCAGGTGTACAATCGCGTGGCAGGAGAAACGGTGCTACCCATGGACAAGCGACTGGACAGACTCATGTCTCGCTGCGGCCCAGTAACGGGCTGCATTTTTGCCTTGTTGGCCGTATTCAACTTCCTCTTCCTCTCTTTCCTGAGATGGATGACTCCAGATTCTCTCATTGACGTGGCCATCGATGCCACGGGGCCAAAGGGTGCCTGGACTAAATATCCTTACAGCAGGAAACAGGACAGGACCAATGAATTGTCCAAAACCAGGTAGAAGAGAGCCTGGGTTGGAAGGTTTTACATATGTGTAACCGTGCTATTAAGCCTATTGAAAATAACCTTGCTTTTTCCCTTTTTGTAAAGTTAATTTAGTAAGTTGTGCTACCTCTATATCATCCGATGTTTTACTTTGAGGAGAGATAACTTATGCAATCCCTGAGTGTAGAAACTCCTTGCACTTATTTAAAATTCCAGAGAGACCTTATTCAAGTCACTCAGGTATGATATTTTTCAGATTTCTGAAATCCTTCTAGCAGAAATGTTTTCACCTATTTGGGGAGCTTTGGGTGCTTAAGGGCCAAATGCTTTCTGGGCATTATTTTTCTTTTGGCCAATTTAAATGTCCTGCCATTAATTAGATATTCACCCGATGTTTACGCGTTTCCTTTAGGGATGTTTAACAACACTAGGAACTATTTTAAGTCGTGTCCATGCAACTTTATTAGATACATAAGTCATGTTCTTAACCTTTTATTGGGAACACTCAGTAAGTATTACATGTTATTAGCAGATCTCGAATAAGAAGGTCTGTCAGCTACTAGCCTGCTGGAAGCGCCTACTGTGTCTAGAACATGGAACTGGACACTTTTTGCCCTGAACGACCAGGGTGCTGTCACTGTTTACCACTCACATGGCTCACTTCATTGTAGTTGTTTGAAATGAAATGGTAAACCATCCAACATGCCAAAAACACTCATTGTGCTTCTAACGCCACGAAACAGTTGTAGATGACGGTCTGAGTACTTTGGTCCTGCTGGGTGCATTCTTCTAGGTAGAGCCTTCCTTTCCAGTTGCGTTTACGAAAATGCTGTTTTGCTTTGTAATCACTAGGGACCGATACCACTGTTGAGAGTGCAGAGACAAACCCTCCCCATCGTTCAGTGCATAATTGAGTTCTCTGTAAAATGCCTTCACGTTTTCCGAGCAGAATGTATGAGATGTGCCACCTCACACTCAGCTGCTACCCTGTACCTTTGGGAGAAGTCACTTCCTTTCACGTGTGGCCTAGCTGATACCTGATAAGTATTGTCAGTGTGCAAACAAGTCTTTCCCCCAGAATGTGTTTTTCCTGGTGCATTGAGTCTGAAAATGTAAGGGATAGAAGTCTCTTTGGGGATGGATGCGTTGTTAACTGTAATTGTTGCTCACAGCCATGGGTTTTAAAACCCCAAATTATCCACATGGTGTGTCTTACTGAACTCCTTCAAATATGTTTTTGTGATGAAGGACTGAAATGGAAAGAAAGGCCTGTGTGGGTACACTACGTAGATTCTGGCAGTATTTTGATTGTGTACAGGATTTTTTAAAACGACAATATTTACACACCTTTTTAAAAAGTATCTTACCATGCCTGTGAACTAGTTGCCACTGATATAAAGAAGTGTATTCATGTTTCATACTAAAACAAATGCAAGAGTGTAATTTTAAATCCAGAAGTTAGGAGTTCTTTAATTAAAGAAAAACGGACTGACCCACACCATTAAGTCTTATTGGGATTTTTATGCACAGAAATTGACATATAAACAGTGCCAATCTTCACCATAAAGTGAGAAACTATAGTAAGTTATAACTATAACTGTAATTTGATTTTATTCAGCAATTTTCAAAGGCATAATTTTTTTCTTTTTGTTTCTTGGCATATTGTTTTCAAAGTCATTTATTTCATATGGACATAGGCATTAAAGTTCTTGAATGTAAAATATTTAATTGGCAAATTAAAATTATTTTTCTTTTTTTAACAGATGCAAGTAAATTTGATTATTCTACTAAATCATTTTCAGGCTTCCCAGATACTTTCATTGAAGCTGTCAGTGTTGCACTGGTCAATATGTGGAAACATATTGTTCTACCCTCTACTTACATTTATTTGAAAGTGAATTTTCAGTAATGAGGATTTTATGAAAAAATGTATTTCTTATGATGTTACAAAAAGTAACACATGTAAAACTGATTTTTGAAAACAGGCTACATGTCCTTGAAAAATAAAGACCAAAATTACATTTTCACAATTTTCTGAGTTTGTCTTTTTTATGACCAGAATTTTATTTAGTAGTTTATCAGCGTTCCCCTCCCCTTCCCCTCTATGCTTTCTGTTAAGAAAATGCCCTTTTGAATGTATTGGTGTCACATTGGTTAAGAAAATGATATAGGCTTTAGGTGTACAATTCTATAATATGTCATCTTTTCAGTGCAATTTGATGTGTTGCTGTGTCTTAGTAAAAAAGGAAATATCCTTTCGATGACGAATTACACTGTCATTTCTTTTTCCTAGAATACATTCTCTCTTCTACTCATTGGTTAGCAAGCTCAATTGTGCCTTTGTTTCCTGGTTCAAACAAATCCTTGTTTTGCACTGTGCTAGTTACCACGTGAGACAAATGAATGCATCTGTTAACTGTTGTGTATGTGAACTACGTAATTATACTTTGCCTTGTATGCTCTTGTAAGAGAAATTTGAATTGTGATTTTATTTACAGAAATGTAGCTTCTCCAACCCCTTTTGTTGGAGGCAGTGGAAAGCAGTCACCTACATTGGTACATTCTGATTTATCTTATTTCGAAACTTATTTTTGGCTAAGTCAGGAGAATGAGGGGGGGAGGTGGAGGCGAATGATAAGAGAGAATCATTGATCAGCTGCCTCTCGAACGCCCCACACTGGGGATTGAGCTTGCAAACCGGGCATGTGCCCTGACCAGGAATCTAACCATGACCTCCTGGTTCATAAGTTGATGCTCAGCCACTGAGCCATACTAGCCGGGCTGGTGAAATATTTTTAAAGCCCTCTTTATCCTCTGCATTCCCCAAAGAATTGGCTAGATGTGGTTATATTATATCATCCTTTGGCTGGATTTTTAAGATAGGATATTCTGAAAGTTAAAGTTCAATGCAGAATTTGATTTGTAGTCATCAGTACTTTAGGGAGTTCGTTTTTCTTGTTCATTTATGTTTGACTGTGGCTCAGTGGTTGACTGTGGCTCTTTGCAGCTGAAAAGGAGTGGTGATTTTGTCCCTCTGGGACATCCAGCAGTGAGTGTCTGGACACATTTCTGGTTGATACCACTGGATGGGGGTGGGGCACTGACAGCGAGTGTGGAGAGGTCAGGGATGCTGCTAGATACCTCCAATGCTTTCGGATGGCCCCCAACAACAAATGGTCTGGCCCACAATGTCAACAGTGCTGAGGCTGAGACACTCTGCTGCTGTAGATGGTTTCATCTCCTGTAAAAGATACTGTGAATTGACTCCTTACCTCAGTAATCTTTTACACCCATCTCAAATGTAAAAAATGGTCTCTCAGAAATAGTATCGATATCATTTGAAGCTTTAAAAAGTTGAGCTGCTCATGACCAACTTTTCTGGTATGTAAAACAAACGACAGCCATGTTGTAAATGAAAATCAAGGCCAAAACAAGATTGAATGATGTTATAGAATACAATATACATCATTGGACTGACAAGAGTAAATACCTTCCATAGAGGATAGTTGAAGAAAGAGACACGAAAAGAGATAAAATACTTGTGTTCATCCATGTATTTTCGTACCCTGTCACTCTGCCAGGTAGTTAATGTAAGCTTGATAAAGTCAACCCTATATGTTAATATCTGTTCTTGAGAATAGAAACAATGCAAGGTCTTTATGTATTTTTTAAAATCTTTATTGTTGAAAGTTATACAGATGTCCTCCTTTTCCCCCCATTGATTCTGTCTAGCCTACCCCCCCCCCCAATCGCCCCAAGCCTTCACCACCCTATTGTCTGTGTCCATGGGTTATGCGTAGATGCATATAAATTCTTCGGTTGATCTCTTCCTACTCACCTACCCCCACCTTCCCTCTGAGATTCGACAGTCTGTTCCATGGTTATGGTTCTTTGTCTGGATCTATTTTGTTCTTTAGATTCCACATATGAGTTAGGTCACATGATACTTGTCTTTGACTGGTTTCTTTTGCTTAGCATACTACTTCAGGTCCCTCCATGCTGAACCAGAGGGTACGAGATCCTTATTTTGACAATGAAGTGATGCAGTCTGTATTTTAACTCAAGACTGTATTCTCATGCACCAGCCTTTTAACAAAGTATAGGGGAAAAGTTCTTATTAATATATGGGTATCCATTCTAATTTGACCAAGTGCTAGGAGAAGCTCCCATATTTTTGCATAAAGCATTCCATGAGATTTATGTCATCTGCTCTTATAATTTTATTTTGGCTTATCTTTTCTAATTGGTTGCAGAAATCGAGAAAACCTAATACAGCCAAGAATGAGAAAGGAGACCTAGATTCCCCTCACCTAACTTTCCTAGGAGGGGAAAAATAAAAAGAAATCAAGCTGATGCCTGTTGAACAATTAGGCTTACAACTGACCAACGAGGGAAGATTCATAGAATCTTTGGGTACTTTATCCAGAACCTAGGGATCTTCACTATCCATTTCATCATAATCTAACCATGATCAAGGATAGCTCGCATTTTCCAGAGAGAGGTACGACCTTTATGAACACTTGAAATGGGAAATTATCTTACTGGGGTTCCTTGTCATGGGTGAAATGATTACAGGAAGTGGTCTAATAGTTCCAGTATGACACTTCCACTTGGAGAGCCATCCGAGGTGGGCCCATTATAGATACTGCCTTAGAGTAAATGGTCTTTTGTAACTGGTCACAGTGTAGAATTGGGCTTTATCTCCCATGAACCCCAGAACGAAGAAAAAATGAAGTGTTTCAGGCTAGTACTTCCCACCAAGAGCATAGGATATATTTGTGCTTCTTTGTATGAACTTAAAAAACTTGCCTTGCTCCCCATGGGATCTGGGAAGTTTGTTTTCTTCCCAATCCTGTTTCCCAACATAATATAGAAAAAATTGGGATTTAGGAATAAAAATGGTTTGGGTGTGAATCCTATTTGTTCAATAGCACGGAGGAATGCACGTCTAGAATTAAAAGCTGTTTCTGGTTGGAAGGAAGTGTTTGTTTGTTTGTTTGTTTGTTTTTTAATTTAACCTTGCTGTGAATGTCAGAACATGAAGTCGCCAAATCACCGTTAGCGTAGAACCTACAAACGGAGTTCTCCGTGACAGGACACTGAGGGCCAGGAGGTTTAAAATAGCTGTCATATGATACCAATTACAACGCAGTGAAATTTCGCAGTCCCGAGAACCTGTGCAGAGTGTAAGCCAAAATGGAAGATGGTTCTCCTTTCTATGGCTTTAAAAACATTTTTGTTACCCTGTTTGCTACTTTTCTTTTCTTCAAGCTCTTAATTAAAGTCTTTTTGGCTCTCCTAACCCATTTCTATGTCGTCAAAGGAAATAGAAAAGAAGCAGCTAGGATAGCTGAAGAGATCTATGGTGGAATATCAGGTAAAAAGACAGCATTTCTTAAAAAGCTGATGCATGAGAATAGAGTCTTGAGTCGCAGTACACATTATTTAAAAACCTCCCAGATAACTTCTATATATAATATTTCTAGAAGGCAGACTTAATTTATACTTTGGCTTTGAGTGGGTAATTTAAAAAATATAGATATATTAGTATATATTATTTAAAGTTGCAAATGGTGTTGACTACACCAGTGGTGAAGGATTTTCAGCTATAGTTTCTGCATGGTAGTTCTTCAATTAGGAGTTACTACTTAAGAAGTAATTAAAGTAGTGGCTTTCTAAAAGTATTTTGAGAAACCTTATTTCTACTAACCTAAAAAGTTACTCATCTAGGATTATTGTGTTTAGTATTTTTAATCAAATGTTAACAATGCCTTAGGACAAACCTGAGTTTTCTCAGGAAATAGAATGACCAAGAAGTTTGGTTTAAAGCAGCAAAGGTGGCAAGTTGTGTTTATTTTGGTGCTGCCATTTGCAATCCGAATTGATTAGCCACTTGTCACTATAAGGAAAAAGATTTTACTAAGCCCATTTTACTCAGTACCATGCAAAACACCGCAAACAAAGGTTATTATATGAAATGCCAACATTCAGGTAAAACATTTTTAAGTCGCCTGCTTTGTAGAACTTGGTGTCCTGCAAAGAAATGATGCAACCTAATTGTAGTGAGATGCTACAAAAGTAAATGAGTCAAATATCCTCGCCACTGCCAGGATCCTCACTCAATAGAGGAGCATTTATTCATAAACAGTTTGGAATTTCCTTATGTGTTTTCAGTGTCCCTAGGGTTCCAGGATTACATCAGTCTTTATCTGGTATCCATTTCTATTTGCATCTAGGGTTCTCTTTCAAAATAGACCAATGCTTTGTGGTTAGAATACACTAGATGACTTGGAAGACATTAGATAACGGCAGTCTTATCCAAGGAAATAAGACCTCCAAAGACGAAGCATCAGAATGCTTCAATTAACTGGGGAAAGTGAGAAGAATGTGGAAGTTTCAGGAAGAGTCAGAAGGTCCGGAGTGTGGAAAGAGATTTCTTTTGGGGATTACATTTGCCACACATTTCAGGGAGGTATGTTGCTCAAACTCCCTTTAGCTTCAAGCTTAGTATGACCTGAAAAAGCTATTTTCTAATTTAATATGTAAATTTGGGCAGGGCCTGTTTAAACGTTTCAGTAACACAGTTTTGATGTTCTCATAGATACATGGTTCTCATGGTGTAAATTAGTTCAAGTCCAACAAAGTCATTGTTGGCAAGAGCCTTAAAATGTTTTCTGTTGCACGTGTGCATCATTTTTGTCTTTGTGACCCTTGACCAAGTGCACTCTTGGAAGGGTTTTCTAACAGAATCTATGGAAGCATGGTTTAAGTTTGGGGCCACAATGTGAACCTCTTTAATTGAGCTCATTTATTTTTTAGCTGAAATATATTTGTTCAAGGTCCTAGGATTGTATTCATTTAATTTGCAAGTAGCATAGTGTTTAAAGCTATATTTTTCAGTTATCATGAACCAGAGGCAACAGAGAGGAAAGTGCATGTTTATTTCTCAGTTTAATTTCCATCGTGTGTGTGTGTGTGTGTGTGTGTGTGTGTGCGCGCGCGCGCGCGCGCGCGCGCACGCGTGCGTGGGTGTGCACACACACTTATGCCCATAGTAGAGAGTACACCCAGATTTGGGAAAAGAAGGCTTTCTATAATAAGACAGGTAGTAACATGCTAGAAACAGTGGTTTTTGCAATGTTCTAACACTATGTTTTCTGTTGACATTGTTAGCAGTCAGATGCTTGACACTTGAAAATGAAGAACAAAATTTTGTGCAAGGGTTCAACTCGAACCTGAAATTGCCTTTGCTGTTCATTGGTCTAATGTTTGTTGGGGAAATATATAACATTGAATCAGTACGTTAGCTAATTAAATTAGCAAAGTCTGAGGAAGGTTACTTTTTTTAAATTCCAATAGCATATTATGTTCCTGTACATTATCATCATTGCTATCAAAAACAAGGGGAGGGCAGGAAAATACTTAGCCAGGGCACAGTTGAACCTGTCATAGGTGCTGGCATTTTTTTTGGAAACAGCATCTGGTGTCATCTCTCTTATTAAATATCTTCTTTTCCTTTGTAAAATCTTTTGGGGAAATTTTTTTAATTTCTCATTCTGGAATACATTGTTCAATATGTCTTTATGGTTTAAGCTATTAATATTACATTTGTAGATAACTTGTCAGGATTGAGTTAAGCTATGGTTGCTTATTTTATTTTGCTTTTTTTCAGGCTGCTTTGTGTAGTTTGTCAAATTTATATTTTGAAACATTGTCATTGGCCCTTAACATTATATTTAGAGCACCAGACAGGTCACTGGATCCCACCTTCACCCCGTAGATTTTCCTCAGGTGTTGTCTTTCTCCAGAGAGATGTGGCGTATGATTTTTCAACCTTTGCTAATTTGGCCAGAACTAAAGCTGTATTTATGTCCAGCAACTTGGTCATCAAAGTTAATAAAAATATAGATACAGGTTGATAATGTGTTTTCATAACCCTTGGACCAGATAGGATTCAGGAGTTTCGGGGGATACTAGAACAATTACATAGGGTATATAGTGTATATTGCATAGCATTCCCAACTTGGCCTAGAGCTGCCTCTCATAGTCAAACATTTTGATATTTCCATAGTGAACATATAAATACACATACCAAGTGAAAATACAAAATTAAAAATAAGTTGCTTAACCTGAGACTTGGCCATGTTTTGCTGTCAAAGGAGTTTGAGTCAACCTTGGTGAAACATGGTTTTTAGAATTTGGGGGATTTTATAATGGTAGATAAGATATTATACAATTATTGCATTTTTTAAAAGGGCTGTTTTGAGCTAAAAGATTGTTTCTATTCTAAGTGTTCATTTTAAAACTAGTTGCCCTTGTTCTAAATTAAAAGGACTGACCTTGATTTGATGGCCACGCCTCGGCCAGACTCATCAATCTGACTCCTTTTTCTCATTTTTTCCCATTTGCACATGATTTTCCTGCATTTGGTACTTTCGTACCTTATCTTCTATCTAGCTTTCTATTCTTATTTCCTCAGCCTTGGCTCAACCATCATCTGAGTGATTACACATCACAGGTGCTGGCTGGCTTTCCCAATTTGGGACAACCAGTCCTCAGTAGGGACTCTATCTTCCCACCTGTTACCTAACCCAGCTCGCCTGTTCCTAATAGGTTTAAAGGAAACACTGCAAAACAGTGTCCATTGACTGTGGTTCACCTCATGGCCAGAGCTGAGTATTCTAAACAGAGTGCATTTTAATTCAATTATATTATAACTAGTAGCCCTGCGCATGAATTCGTGCACCAGTAGCTCGCTGCTGCCCTCCAGAAGCTCTCCACCTGTTGCCCCGCCCTCCTATAGCTCCCCTACCCTTCTTACTCCCACCCCCCCTCATAGCTTGCTGCCCTGCCCCCCCCCTGTAGCTCTCTGCTACCCGCTTGTAGCTCACTACCCCACCCTCCTGCTGATCCGTGAAACAGTCATTACACAGTCAATCATTACACTTCACAGTGTGACGACCATTTGCATATTACATCTTTATTATATAGGATATCTTAGGTATCTCAGGAAATTTATTGTATTTTTTTATATAATTACCTTTGTGTTGCTTAAAATATCATTAATTCCACTAGGCAAGTGTTCAGCAAACTGCGGCTTGCAGGCCACATGAGTCTCGAGAGCCGTGGTTTGCCACTCTGTTGACTAATGAGTTTGCCAACCACAGGTTAGGGCCTTAGTCACAAGAACAACAACAGCCTGTAATTATTGGAATCGAGAGTCTAGGTCAGTGGTCAGCAAACTGCACTAGGCCCTTGCCTATATTTTGGTTCAAAATTGAAATCCCTTTAGGATTTTGTTTCCTTTGATAAATGATGCAGGAGAATATATTACTTCATATGATTTTGGGACTTGACTAATGGGAAGAGATTGTTTCATGTGAACTAGATATTATAATCAGATGGCTATATGTTTTAAAAAATAACAAGCCAGCTGAAACTGGTTTGGCTCAGTGGAGAGAGTGCCTGCCTACAGACTGAAAGGTTCCCAGGTTCGATTCTGGTCAAGTGCATGTACATTGGTTGCGGGCACATCCCCCGCAGGGAGTGTGCAGGAGGCAGCTGGTAGATGTTTCTCTCTCATCGATGTTTCTAGCTCTCTATCCCTCTCCCTTCCTTTCTGTAAAAAATCAATAAAATATATTTTAAAAAATAACAAGCCAGCCCTAGCTGGTTTGCCTCAGTGGATAGAGCAGCCTGCAGACTGAAGGGTCCCAGGTTTGGTTGCAGGCTCTATTCTAGGCTCTATTCGGGGCACATGCAGGAAGAAACCAATTGAAGTGTCTCTCTCATATCAATGTTTCTCTATCTCTCCCTCTCCTTTCTACTCTCTAGAAAACAATGAAAAGATATCCTTGAGTGAGGATTAACCTAACACACACACACACAACTAACCAGTAACCTCAGGTACTTGTTGGAATTTTTGCAAAAACTTTCAAAAATAATAATTGATTTTTATCTTGAACACTTGAAATGCAGGCAACTGTTTTCCATCTGAACCAATTTTGTTATTGAAATCTACGGTTTTGAAAGTTGTCATGAAATTGTTATTCAGAGTCTTGTAAGTAGAGATATAAATCATATTCTGAGAAAAAGTCAAAGTGGGGGGGAGTGAAAAAGTACTTGAACATTTTCCATACGCCTCGTCAGGAACAAGTAAACATATCTGTAGAGTAAACTATCCTCATAACATGCTTGCAGCCCTGTGATGCAGGCATTCTGCCAAATAAGTAAAAATAGACTATCTCAGAAGAGAGTGACTGATTCCTACTTAAGCATTCATTTATTTGGAGAGCTTGGTTGCATATTTCCTGCAAGGAATGGAAAAACTCCCTAGCTGCCAAATAACTTTTATCCTTAATTTCTCACCATTAGCTC